ATCTGTACCTAGCACTGACATTTTTATTTAATAATCTGTGTTATCTGGGAAAGGCATCGTTCCCTCTTTATCGAATAGCTTAATTAAAAACCAGTCATGGATATGTAATGCATACATGTATATGTAAATATTTATATGTAAATGTTAGAAACTTTCTGTAGTAGTACATACCAAAAAGAAGTTTCAAAGTTTGCGAATTGCTAATTATCACTTCACATAATATGTCTACTCTGCTCTTCCACCTTTCATCCCGCTCAACCCTTTCTGTACTATAATTCCCCTTTTCTCCTTCAAGCCAAATATACTATATCACAGTTTTCTTGAAACCCACTCCTGTGGTCACTCACTCGTTTTCTTGCTTGGAAGCAGAGCATATTTTAGTTTAAACAACCTAAAGGCAAAATAGCACCACAAGAATCTAGTGGTCCTATAACAGGAAGACATGGACATCCCAGTGCAGTAGATGCAGGAGAAAAGGACGAGAAAAAAAATAATGTATGAAGATGATTGAGACCCTTAAAGAGGAAATAAAAAATGTCTTAAAAAAATTGAGGAAAATTCAAGAAATCAATAAGTTTCTTAAAGAAATCCAAGAAAAAGCAATCAAAAAGGTAAAGGAAATAGTTCAAAACTTGGAAATTGAAATAGACACAATAGAGAAAACAAAAATCTAGGGTATTCTGGAATTGGAAAACCTGGGTAAATGAACAGAATCTACAGATGCAAGCATAACCAACAGAATGCAAGAAATGGAAGAGAGAATCAGACATTGAAGATACAATAGAGGAAATGGATTCACTGGTCAAAGAAGACATTAAAACCAACAAAGTAATAACTCAAAGCAGCCAGAAAATCTGTACAGCATGAAAAGAGCAAATTAAAGAGTAACAGGGATAGAAGAAGAAGAATATCATCTCCAATGCACAGAAAATATATTCAACAAAATTATAGAAGAAAACTTTACCAACCTAAAGAAGGAAATACCTATGAAGATACAAGAAACTTACAGAACACCAAGTAGACTGGACCCCCCCCCAAAAAAAGTCCCCTTATCACATAAATACCAAAGCACAAAACAAACAGAATAAAGAAAGAATATTAAGAGCTTTAAAGGGAAAAGGTCAAGTTACATATAAAGGAATACCCATCAGAGTAATACCCAAATTCTCAATGGAGACTCTGAAAGCAGGAAGACCCTAGACAGAAGTTATGTAGCCACTAAGAGACCACTGATGCCAACCCAGACTGCTACACCCAGTAAAACTTTCAATCACCACAGAGGGAGACAACAAGATGTTTTATGACCAAACCAGATTTAAACAAAACCTATCCATAAATCCAGCCCTATGAAAGTAGTAGAAGGAAACTTCAACCCAAAGAAGTGTCTGTACCCAAAAAAGCATAGGCAATAGATAATCCCACACCAGCAAATTCTAAAGAAGGGAAACACACAAACCCTGCCATCAAAAAATAACAAGAATTAACAATCACTAGTCACTAATATCCCTTAATATCAAAGGACTTAATTTGCCTATAAAAAGACAGAGGCTAACAGAATGGATATGAAAACAGGATCCATTCCTCTGCTGCATACTAGAAACACACCTCAACTTTAAAGACAGACATTACCTCAGAGTAAAGGGGTAGAAAAAGACTTTCCAATCAAATGAACCTAACAAGCAAGCTGGTGTAGCTATGCTAATATCTAACAAAATAAACTTCAAACTAAAGGTAATTAAAAGAGATAAATAAAGACATTTCATATTCATCACAGGAAAAATCCACTAAGATGAGGTTTCAGTCCTGAACATTGATTCCCCAAATGCAAGGGCACCCACATTTGTAAAAGAAATATTACTAAAGCTTGTATTGCACATCAAACCCCACACACCAATAGTGAGAGATTTTGACATGCCACACTCTCACCAATGCACAGGTCTACCAGACAGAAAGTTAACACAGAAATAAGGGAACTAACAGATGTTAGGGTTCAAATGAGCTTAACAAATATCTATAGAACATTCTATCCAAACACAAAAGACTATAGCTTCTTTTTACCACCTCATTGACCACATACTCAGTCACAAAACAAAGCTAAACAGATAAAACAAAAAGGAATAAGCACTTGTATCTTACTGGATTACTATGGCTTAAAGTTAGAAATCAACAACAACACAAATTCCAGAAAGCCTACAAGCACATGGAAACTAAATAATGCTCATCTGAATCACCCCTGGTCAAGGAAGAAATAAAAAGAAATTAAAGACTTCCTAGAATTCAATGAAAATGAACGTACAACATATCCAAACTTATGGAACACTCTGAAAGCAGTACTGAGAAAATAAAAAATTTGTAACACTAAATGACTACTTAAAGAAGTTGGATAAATCACACACTAGCGAATTAACAGAATACCTGAAAGTTCTAGAACAAAAGAAACAAACCCATTGTGGAGGAGTAGACACCAGGAAATAATCAAATCAAGGGCTGAAATCAATAAAATAGAAACAAACAAGAGAACAATACAAAGCATCAAAGAAGCAAAAAAAAGAAAAAGAAAAATTTCTTCCAGAAAATCAACAAGATAAGCAAACCCTTATCCAAACAAACCAAAAGGCAGAGAAAGAATAACCAAATTAACAAAATCAGAAACAAAAAGGGGGACATGACAAGAGACACTGAGGAAATCCAGAGACTCATTAGGTCATACTTCAAAAACCTGAACTCTGGAAAATTTAAAAGAAATGGGCAATTTTCTGGATAGGGTCCATGTACCAATATTAAATCAAGTCCAGATAAACAATTTAAATAGACCTAAAAACCCATAAGAAAAATAGAAGCAGTCCTTAAAAGTCTTCCAACCAAAAAAAAGAAAAAAAAAGAAATAAAGTTTAAAATGAAATAACATTCATACATTTCTTTAAAATCTCCATGAAAAGCAGTCTTGAAACTAATGACACATTCATCTGGTAAAGTGTAATGACTTTAGCATCTTTACTGCTGTGGCTGCTGTCTGCTTGCCAGTCAAAGTTAGTTTTCCTAAAATGTTATTAAGGGAAGGCATTAAAATGATCATTATTTTATCTGTTCAGATACAATTAATGTAAAATAAACTCATATAGTTAGGAGAATATTTTAAATTAATTTTTAATTGAACTTATTACTCTATTTGTCTTGGCTAAAATTTTGTAATACTGAAGTCTTGTATCAGAAGAGTTTAAAGTCACGAGACTCTCAAATTATCTCTAAGAACTCTCTAATCTTCAAGCAGACCTACCTGTAACATTTTGTTCCAGTCTGAATAATAATTGCTGCCCGCTTTTCTCCCACTTAAAAGATAGAAACTTGAAAGCATTACTGCTTCATTTATTTAATTTGGCATAGATTGCTGAACAATTGAAATAATCCAAGTATTTATTGAAATTCTGAAATAAAGATATATGCAAACACTTTTCATGATGGAAGACAAGTGTTCAGAGATATACAAGAGCCATGCTACTACACAGACATGGGGCACCAATTCTGGCTAACAGTGGAGACAATGCCAAAGGTGGGAGTGTGCTTGGAACAAATTAACCCTGAGAACAGCCAAGCCAAGGCCCAAGGGGGAAGTGGTAGGTGGGAGAATCTGATCTAAATACAGATTGCTGCTGATAAGGATAAAGGGAAGAAACCAGGAGGTGTATGTGTCTGTCTGGGTGAATGGTGCCTTTAAATTTAGTCTTCACTTTCTGTAATCTTGTGCTCCACTTAAAAGCACTTTTAGCCTGCATGCAAAAACAATCTTCTATCTCCCTGTGAGACAAAATTCTACTCCGAGCCAAGAGGAGCCTAACATTCCAGAAATGTAAGCCCCAGTGCAGAAATCCAAATTCAATTCATCAACACCATCTGTATTACCAGCTGTTCACCTTCCAGATTTTCTTTCATTTTTCAAGTACCCCATGTTCACAAGACAATAAAATATTAAGGAAAATGCTCTTCATGTTTTGAAGTTCTCCATCTCAAAATGACCCCCTCCCCCCTTCCAATGTTCTTCGTTGATGTTGTTTATGCCACCTGAGAAGCAAAATGTATTTATTTGTCTTGGACCTACTTAGTAACGTTTAGCAATCTCTTCATAGGGAAATCTAAAAGCTCACCCCAGAGAAACAGCATGTGTTTCTTTGATTTTGACAAGATGGTCATAGTCAGTAAATTCTGTGTCGTTTGGCTCAGTATTCCGCAGTCACATCCCACTTTTGTGGCGCCAAGCTCCCCCTATTGGCCTGTGCTTCTGAAGAGGATTTGACTTCTGATTCATCCATTCATCCATTTACTCATTCACAGATTTACGTAATGCTCACTGATTATTCATTATATAGCATACCAAAGAAGTCTTTCTGATATTGCCCATCCTTCAATTTTTATTTCTTTGATTATTCAGCCAATCACTGAGGATATTAAAAAGATATGCTTATAGAGAATTTGGAGAGGTACATGAGATAGTATTGCAAGTAAAGATTTTAATGTGTAGATTGACTTAATAGTGCTATAACTTCATCTTAAATGTCAGCTAAATGTAGGATTCTAGGTTGAAGTTCCTAGCTGATGGTGGTATTGGGAAGTTCTAGAATTCTAAGGAAATCAGACTTAATAGAAGGAAGATAAGTCCTTGGGGTGGGGGTCAATGTTGAAGAAGCTATTGGAATCCCAGCGCCCTCCTTTCCTCAGTTTGTTATTGGTAATTTTAATATATCAGCAAAAAACTTCACAAAAATCACAAAAAAAATGTGTGTGTGTGTGTCCGTGTACTGGCATGGACACTTGACATACATAAGAAAACACACACACACACACACACAAGTTTTAATGTTAAAATGAATTTAATTACATCCTACTTAAGAGATGTGATTATGTCCAAACAGGACACTGTGTGGGTCACACTCTAGTCTGGCTGGTCAAGTTACACTACACTAAGCAGACATTTTGAAACAGAGAAAGACAGAGGTGGTGTTCACACACATAGTAGATCCTGTGAGTACATAACAAGAAGACAATCAACTGCAGACACTAAGACACTACTACAATTAAACAAAAAAGAAAAGGAAACCACAACAAAGAGCATCAGTATGGACTCTACTTGGCATTCCCCTTCAGTAGCCTATAACAACAAACTACAGAGGTACAGAGACTCAAGGAAGACATTCTGTGGCAGGGAGGGGCCTTGATTAACCCAGTGAGATGGAGAATGCACGGAAATTTAGATTGCATTCCAAATTACAGTGGTAATTAATCTAACTCCTCACATTACTAAAAAGTTGATGAAAGACGTTAACAAGATGATTGACATGTAACCAGTTATCACTGATGGGACTTGAGTTACACATGAGTCTTCAGCATGTTTTTGCTGGCGTCTCTTCATCTGTTATGTAAGACTAGTTTCACGTGGTTTTACATAGTTAGATGGGTTAATATGCTCCAACGGCACAATGATCTATGCAACTGTTAGCTATAATCATCTTTATTTTTATCATCATGGTGAACAGACGCTATTTGTAGTTTACTTGAGTAAATTTCATAAATGTTTCTTAGAGAACTTAAAAATACAATAAATTGAATTAATCTACTTAAAGTCATTAAGTTATGGATTTAGGATTTCATCTTAAGTATCATACATTCATAAATTATTAATTTATTTGACACAGTAGCACAACATTGTTATTTGAAGCACATAAAAATATTCATCTTAACAAGGATCACATTAATCCAACTTATTTCACTAAACAATAAATTTTCAAATTAAAAATCTTTTTTTTTACAATAGAGAGGTACAGTGATATTGATTTTCTTCCACTCTAAAGCACTAAACTTGCTATTTCACTTTAGAAAATATGTTTTTAACATTTTCACTGATTAGAATAAGATATAAATACTCAATTTTAAAATGTATATAGGAAGCAGATAAGGGAAAACAAACAGCATTAGAATATATTCAGAATGCTTTTTATCATATGAATATTATATTTTCTTATCTTGAATCTCCAAAATGTGTTAAAATACATACACCTTTGGGTTCACCCACTGGGTTTTGATCCTACTGCATTTACTGGCTTTGTGGGAGCCTAGCCTGTTTGGATGCTCACCTACCTAAACCTGGTCGGAGTGGGGAGGACCTTGGACTTCCCACAGGGCAGGGAACCCTGCCTGCTCTTTGGACTGGAGAGGGAGAGAGAGGGGAGTGGGGTGTGGGGAGTGGGGGAGGGGGAGGAAAAGGGGAGGCAGGGAGGAGGTGGAAATTTTTAATTAAAAAAAACATATATATACACCTGAATAACAGATTGAATAGTTCATTCTAAAACAATGCTGGTTTCATTATTGCAGTGGACAAATCCTTTGGCCCAGGATTTTGAAATGGATCAAAGAAGGCATTCACACCTTACATGTATCTGGTCGAAGTTCTGTTATTTTTCTTTCCGTAAGTACAAAATCATACTTACAAGCTGGTGGTCTTGGAGAGAGAAGAAAAGAGGGAAACAGCTATTAGTAAAGTAGCAAGATTTATTCCCATTTCATGCAAAATTAGAAAAGTCTAAATCTGAAATGAGCCGGTTCTCCAAAAGTGCGGCGCTAGAAGGATCCCTTAGAACGGAATCCCCTTTTCTCATCTGTGTTGGCATGGCACAGAGATAGTGCTCGTGGGAAAGAAAAGAACTCTCCCTTTCCACTTCTGCCTCTTTTCATCACAGAATAGTCACACTGCATAGCATAGACAGTGCTATTGGAGGCAGCCCCTTCCCGAATTCAACTTTAAACTAACTAAATAGCTCCTCCATCATGACTGCCCCCAAGGACAGAGACTAACATATAAAACATCATTCATCTAAATTCTTTGCTTCCACCCCAGTTCACCATTCCTTACAATTAAATTTGAAAATAACACCATGTAACATAGTGTATATTTGAATAAGAACATGTATGCAGCGCTGGAGATCAAACCACTAGAGTTAATCCAGCATCTTGCCCAGTTGCTTATTTTCCTGTTAACGTTTGGAAAAACTTGAAAAAAAAATGGATGGAAAAATAAAACATGGTATAAATAAACATTTTTTTAATCAACGGTTATTAAATCAAGAGTAATCAGATCAACCATACAGATTATCTTAGTTTTGGTAACAAGCTCCAGAGTTTCATCTCTCTCAACCTCCTTGCCTGGTAGAAGCACTACGGAGTGGTGATTGTTTGTCTTGTTACACACCTCAATTTGGCCTTGAATTCACTTTAAACCTGCTTCGTCCTCTATTTTCAGGGACCACAGGCATGAATCACGACAGCTCTCAACGTCGCAACATACTAAAGAGCAGATTTTGTTTGAATTTCTTGATTTTTAGAAGACATAAATTTGATGTTTGCATATAAAATGTAAATACCGATCTTCATGCGAATGAAAAGAGAATACTACAGTGCTCCCCATTTGAAATACTAAAGACTGCTCACAACTGCCATTTTCACATTGTGGTCCGGTAACTGTGAACTGGTACTGCTCAGAGACTATAGAAATTTTCAGATACTGGCAGCAGATCCTAATCTGCGCCTCTAGGGACTGGCCATGACTCAGCAGTAAAGGCACCTGTTGCTCTCCCAAAGGACCCTGGGGGTTCATTCCCAGCAACCACATAACAGCTGTGGACAGTTCCAGGTCCTCCACGCCCTTGTCTAGCATCTGCAGGCATCACCTGCAAACAATGCAAGGTCACCTCATAGGTAAAACACAAATACAGGTGAAATAAAAGTAAAGCTTTTTAAAAATTAAACAAAAGTTAAGGAAAGATTTTTCTTTTTCATCCCTCAAACACTTGCACCAATTCCTGCTCTGTTTGGCTGTATTTATGTATAATATACACCTTCGATATTTGATTTTCTTGTGCCTCATTTTCCCACTCTTTTCGTATTAAAAATGTGTCAGATCCACAAAGGAAAAAACTACCTCAGCTACTTAGTGCCTTCCCAGACTGCGTGTACATTTTTACTATTTTTCTTATTACAGATTAACACAAAGGACAATATTACATTGATAAAAAAACTTAATACTTAATAACAACAAAGGTAATTTAAAGATTTTATCTAAAGTTAAACCTAATCTAGTTTTTAACTGCAATACATAATTAGAATAAAAATAAGAAATATATTTTTCTTCTTTTAAATATCTTTCTGAGATGTTTGTGTGATACATCACATTATTTTCTAACATTCTTTTGTAAAATGACTTAAAGAAATACTTTTAAGCATTAATACAGAGACAGAGATATACCTGATCCTAACTGCCAGACAGGGATAAATTCATAAGTTACATTTCCCTGGGTAGATAAGTTGTGCTTAAAGGGTGAAAGTAAATAAAGCTAGTTTAAATATTTCTCCAGGCCTTCTAAAGAACATCTGCCCAAAAGTAGTTTTATTGCTTATTAAAATCCAGCCCTGAAGATATTTACAGAAATTTTGCATTCATAAAAATATTTGTAGAGCACAGGGCAGTAAATATGAAAAGACACACAATGTCTAGCATCTGATCCCAAAAAACCAGGCAAGATATGGAGAAAGCTCAGTGGGAGAGCATTAGCAGAGCAGGACCGGAGCCCAAGGTTTGAAGTTCAGGACCAAAAGAGTGAAAATAACTGAATAACAAAGTGCTTGTGGCCCTGGCTGTTGTCTTTTTGACTTTGTAAGTAATTTTCTGGCAGGCAAAGAAGCAGAGGATGGAACCATATGAGGAAGAGACTTAACCTATTAAAACAGCCCACAACATTAGCACAAATGTGATAACCAACACAAACACACTCAATTAGTTATTATCCTTCATTTCATGTGCTCAAAAAATTAAACACAAACATAAGCTGTAAAAATACAAATCATACTTCCAGATACAAAAACAATATATGAACTGAAGACTGTGCTACACAGAACTAACAACTGTTTGACAGTGTAGAAGCAAAGACCAGCAAACAGCAAAGCATAGCAGCCCAAACTCTCCAAAATTAGATCAGAGAGAAAGTGTAATCAGGAAAATTAAGAAAGCATTGGTGAGTTCTAGTACAACAACAAACATTGAAATAGGTATACCCAAATAAGATAGAAAAGGGAAAAAGCGATTCAGAAACAAAAATAAATTCGTCTAGGTGAAATTTTAGATGGAATCTTATTTTAAAAAGAAAAAGAGCAAACTATCAATCTGCAGGTCCGTGAGCAATAGACCTCAAAAACAAGAATTCTGTTATAAAATTCCTTCATAGAAGAAATGTTTTTCTGCCTGTTAGTCTTTAAAGCTATTACTCTCTACAATGTTATCATTAATCATTCATAATATTAATATAAGAAATGTGAATAAAATTACTAGACATATTGTAATTTAACTGTTCCAACTCAGTTAAAAAAAATAGTGACTTTCCAAATAAAACAAGTTCCATAAGAAAATAAGTTGTTTATATAAGCAAAGAAGGGATAGCAATAGATTTCTCAGGACAATCAATGCAACAGACAAAGAAACAACCTTTGAAAACACTGAACTTCTACTGTGGGGACCAGCCCTCAGCTGCTCAGGGATTGAGGAGGATCCACGGAATCAGTGAACTAAGGACTTGACCTATCTGAAGGATAGGTCTTTCTGGGGCCAGCAAAAAAGGGAAACACACACACACACACACACAATCTCTAACATGTCAAGATCACACCTAGGGAGCTAGTGAACAGCAACCTTTCAGCAGGTCAGAGAAACTGAAGAGGTGATGCAGAGCCTGCAAGCCCCTGGACAGGCTGTAAACAGAGGCAGGAGGGAGCCTGTCCTGGAACTAGCTCTTGTAGACCAGGCTGGCCTTGAACTCCAGAGATCCACCTGCCTCTGCCTCCGGAATGCTGGAATTAAAGGCGTGCGCCACCACCGCCTGGCTCGTTTTATTATTCTCATCATCACCTTTGATCACCAACCTATCCTAGCAGGAAAGGCACATCAGCCAGCAATAGCCAGACTGCCATTTGTTTGGTCCTTTGACCTCAATGGGTCCCTTGATCAACTATTAAAAGTGTTTCTGTCTAAATTTTAAATCGATTCTTAATATTTTCTACCTCAAATCATTAACAAAATCATCTTAACCTAACCTTAAGACATTATTTAAAGCTTTATGTTAGCTATGATATACACTGAAACCCCCGAGCACGTCTCCCAGCATTAAGATTAAAAGAACTTGAGGTAGCCTAGCTTCTGGGGCTCAATTGTTTTCCTTTATCAGTAACCTAATCAGTAACCTCAGCCACAATCTATAGGACTCATGAAGAAGGACCTGGAAGTTCTAACTGACAATCTCTTGTTCCTGTTTTCGATTCTCTGCAGTTCTTGCTTTATCACGGGCAGGGATAACACTATAATCTATCTTTACCTATATCAATTTTCCCACTAAACTAACCACTATCATAATCCCTTATCACATTTGTTAAAAATCCTTAATTATCAAAATCATCACTACTATTGATTAAATCATTACTTCAATTAAACAGTACAGCTTAAGAGGATATCATCTTCATAATAACCCACAGGTAAAAACGCCCAGTAGAACTGAATATTTACATAAGCTATTCATACTACATGAAAGGCAGTGGGAATACTTCCACGTCCATACACATCATGACAGATACCAGAGAAAAATGGCAGCGGCGACCATGTAAAGACACAGAAGTAGCAAGAGTTATTATGGAAGCGAAGCCCTCAGGGCCTTGCTTATCTGAGATTCTCCCATCAGAGCCTTGTATTCTAGTGGACTGAACTCAGGAAGCTGCCACCTGCTACTCCTCTGACATGGCCAGAAATATTATCTTTCAGGATGAAGAAAACATAAGGAATTTTCAAAAGGTCATACTGGACTTCACAAACAATATAGGCACCGTAGAAGGAATGTTAAGGAAACCACACTAGAAAGTAAGTTAAAGCAGATAAAAAGATGCCCCTATCATCAGCACAAGCATCTTTAAAGGGGGCTGAGAAGTTCCACTTGGCAAACCTTCTTTCCATGCAAACATGAAACTTTGAAGTCACGCACCCAAGTAAAAACCATGCACTGGAGTACAAGTCTGTAACCTCAGGACTGGGGGTGATGGGTGCCAGAGAGAAGGCCTGGAGATAGCTGTAAGATCTGTAGAACAAAATCATGAGTTCTACATTCAATTAAAAACCATGTCTTCAAAAAAGAAAAAAAAAAAAAACAGAAGTGACTAAGGAAAACTGATTCACTGATTTTATCTCTAGCCATTGTAAGACACACTCACACACATGGTTACACAAACATGAGCAAACACACACATTCACACTTGAAGATATATGTACACACATATACTATATACACACACATGTGCCATGTCTCTAATTATTATTGTCTCTTTCATTTTTTTAATGACAATTTAAGCAGAAATGGTACAGTTCATTAAGTATGTTTTAGGACATTCGAAAGAAAAATGCTTGCCAACAACAGCACAAAAATGTTACCGAAAAATGAAAGCAAGTACTGTAATAGTTTCCTATGTAGAGTGTTAAAAATCACTTGAAGGTAAATTTCTGTAAACTAAATATTTTAATATAAACTCCAAAGGAACCATTTGCAAATTCATATAAAGAAGCAATACAATTTTATAACTCCTTGATTGATAAAAAAAAAAAGATTTTTAAAATAAATGAGCAGGGAACCAATAGGACAAATAAAATACAAAAAGGCAAAGCTTGAATTAACATACACTGTCATTAATTTTAATTGGTTAAACGTGTAAATTCAAGAGCAGAGATGACCTCATCATTGCCATTTGAGAAATGCAAATTAACAAGCTATATTTGCATACCTATTAAAAAAGTAGAAATGAAAAAAGCAAGAGACCAATCAAGCAGCAATAACGTAACAAAACCTAAAACCAATCTGGTTGTGGTGATTTAAATGAGTGGCTCCAGAGGTTTCAGGCACTTGAATTCTTAGTCTCCAGTTGGTGGTAGTTTGGCCAGGACTAGGAGGTGTGGCCTTGTTGGGGAAGGCTTGTTTCTTACCTTCTGCTCTGCTCCCTGCCATTAAGTTGATAGATGCCTATCCCCTTGGAAGTGCAAGTCCCACTGAAATGCTTTTTTTTTTCTTTAAGTGGCTTTAGTCATGGTGTTTATCACAGTAATATAAGGTAATTAAGACAATGGTAAAAGAACACTTGCCAGAAGAGCAATAAATATTTAATGCCAGCCAAAATGCAAAACATACTTACTTTGAAAAACACTTCGACTGTTTCTTATAAAGTTTAAGACACAACATATGACCAAACAACCCTATTTCTAGTTACCTATAGAAGACAAATGACACTTTATAGTAACATAAAAGCTCATATAGAATTCCAGGTTTGCTCATAGGAAACAAAATTGTTAGCCCATGTCTTTTAAGTGGTGAGTGGATGAGCGAGGTGTGTAAAACTTTTACAATGAAAGCCTATTCGTTCATAAATTTCACTGATAGAGGCAAGAGATAAGTGCAAACTTACACACATACAATGACCTACAATCTTGTGTATATAATAATCTAGAAAAATGTGAGCCAGCAGCAGCAGGTGACGTCAGAGTTGAGCTGATAATCGAAAAACAGAACCAATAACCTTTGGTGAATTCTAAATTTTTGCTTGTGATATTAAGTTCTATTCTTCTACTCAATACATATCTATGCAAATACACACCAACAGAAATATTTAATATTAAAATTTTTAAACAGTTTCAGTCAAGGAATTTTCCAGAAGTCATTGAAGGTCACACCTCTTCTATGTATTTCCCTTAGTCCCTCAAAACAAAGAACTAATTTACTTGGAGTGGCTGAGAGGGGGTTCTGGCTGGTGTCTATCAAACTACTTTTGGAGATAAAATTACTCATCAAGGGTGTGCAAAGTAAAGTGGATCACATCCTTTGTGGCACACATCTCCTATAGCTGAACAGTCCAAATTCTCACTGACTTTGTATTATCTCTGTGGACATATCTAAAGAGGAATGTGACTAGATGATTACAGTAGTTACCTAGGCAATTAAACATAAGAATACTTTCATCCAAGAATCATTTTGCATTTCTCTCTCTGGCCAGAAGATGATGGTGAGAGCTTCATTAAATACCCAGATGTATTTTAGATTTTCACTTTTCTGAGTCAAAAGAATTGCATACAACTTTTATAAATCTAGTAAATAATCATAATCCATCCATAGTTTAGGTTTTGGAAAAGAAAATCCCGTACACACGTGTTTTATGTACTGGAGCATATATGAATGGCTTTGTCCTATTTCTTACTTATGACTGAGTTTTATGCAGCATATATCGGCATAAAAATGAAATGAGAAAATGTTGATGGAAAAGCAGAAAACATTAATAATTCTATTTTAGCAGAAACATTACCTATGAAACAAATTTTCCAAATAGTCTACAATGAATAAATTTATTAGTTAATGGAACATGTTTTTATTGTAAAAATAAATACCAAATCAAATGTAGTTGAAAACTTAAAAGCTTGTCCTTCAAGATATGACATTCTGCTCCAACCACGTATTTGAAAGGTAAATGTTCTTGCTTAGATATTTACTGGTTTGATATTTTTTGCATGCACTTCAGTCACAGGAATGGTAGAAACTGTCTTTTGTCTCTATAATAGCATTTTACTGACTTTTGATGTATGTATATTATCATACTATAAAATCTGTAAAATTATTTGCATTTAAATTAGTTTCCAACACTCTTCTGTGGATGTAGAGCTGATCTAAATGCTTGTTCTCAGATTGGGAAGCAGTTCAGTCAGTCAGTAACACAATTATGCGGAACTGCATCCCTAGCAGTCACATAAAAAGGCTCGTACAATGGCACTTTCTTACAATTTCAGCGTTGAAGAGGTGGAGAGAGGGAGATTCCTAGGGATTATGACTTTGATGCCAGTGAGAGACCCTTTCGTCAACAAAATGTGAATGACGCTTGAAGAATGATATCCAAGGCTGACCTGTTGCCTCAACACACACACACACACACACACTCATACACATATACACAGGCATTATATATCACTAGACATATATAATCATATATTGCTCTTGTTCTTACTTTCTATAAATACTAATCTTCTATACTGCACTTTCATAAAAGAGAGTTGAGATCCGTGTGTGTGTGTGTGTGTCTGTGTGTAAAGTGGATTAAAGTAGAAACATTACAATCAACTAAAGAGATTACAATCAATCTACAAACCACTTCTTTTATTATGGGAATGTAGGTGGGATAAGCATGTATGCATGTGTGTATGTGTGGTGCATGTACTTATGCATAGGATATACATAGAAGCATGTGCATATGTGTCATACATGGTACACACACATATATGGAACTCAACTACATCCACCGAAGAGTGTTAGAAACTAATTTAAATGCAAATAATTTTACAGAGGCCAGAAGATGGTGTTTCCCTATCATTTTCTAAATTAACATTTTCTAAATTAATCTTTTTATTAATTTTAAAACATCCATAAGATATGATGTCTTATGGAACCTGGAGATTATTGTGTGGACTAGCCTAGCTGGTCAGCAAGTCCCATGATTCCTCTGTATCCATTCATCCAACAGTGGAATGGTAGTTATGTAGAACAGTGCCTGACTTTTTCAATGGTGTCAAGAATCCCTCCTGAAACCTTGTCCTCCCTAACTTAAAGAACGGGGTTTCTTTCTCTCTCTCCTTATTCTCTTCTCTGCCTCAATCCTTGCTACAGCTACTGAGATTTACAGCTTTCTTGTCCTATTCTTTTTCTCTTAAACTCTCATAAAATAAACTGTTTTGGAGCTGAAAATAAACAAGCAAAAAGGAAAATATTTATAGATCTTTTAGGACTATATTGTGTCAATTTCAACCTTACCAATACCTTTTGAAATTATTATATGTTTTTTGTTGCTCAGATAATGTAATTATGAACTACCATAAGTATCACTCAAGATAAAAAAAATACATTTTATGTCTTTTTTAAACATTTGAGATCCTTTTATAATAAAATTAACCAACATTTACATACATAAATACTTAGCCAAAACATAAAGAGCAGTTTTAATATTAAGACAAAATATTGTAATAAAAATTTAGAGTTCCTACCTTTCTGGATTGGTAAGTGACTTTAACATGAGACTCTGGAATTTGTATTGGCATGTGGAACAGTAAGAACCTGAGGACGGCATGTATGTGATATAAATGCATGAAATGTTCACAATATCTATTTTGAACAGAGCAAGGATCTTGAATTCTTTAAGATCATCAAATGGTTTGCTCGTCCTAAGCAGGGAAAAAAATGATATTCTCAGTTTATTAATAAACTTAAACATACTTTTCTAAAATAAGTGCAATGTTAATGAAACACAAGACAATTTTATAGGGCAGAGGTCAGACAAGACAGAATAAAATAACAGTGAGGATGTATGCATCTCCATATGAACATGTAGAAAATTATATTTTCTTCAAGATTGTTTATGCTGTATTTGACTTTATAGATCATTCTTCAGCCATTGCAATTCCTTCAGTTGACTAGAACTTCAAATGAAAAATGTTATTCACCAACACATTTTAGAATATTTTCCTTAAAGAAAATATCAATAAAATAATGAGATTTAAAATGAAAAGTACTATTTTATAAACATAATTTCATGATCACTTTCAATGTATCAAGGATAGTAACAAGGCTTAAACCACACACTTGGACTTTATTTAGCCTGTAACCTCCTTTTAATGATATTATAAAAATGGTCATATCAAGAAAAGTTAGGTTCAAATCATACAGATTGCTTTCTTGAAATCACAAAGCGATTAGTTAATCATTTGTGGTGTAAAACCATACTTTTAAATCCTGTTTATTACTCCTTTCCTCAATTCTTTATCTCTGTGTGGCAGAAATATGAATCTATAACATAATTCCTGGCATTATAGTTTTGTCCAAATCATCTCTCAGAAGCTAAAATTAAGGGTCTAAGCAAGTTGGACCAGAGAGACCACAAGATTTGGGTCAGAAGAAAGAAGCAAATGGGGAAAAGAAAACAGAAGGAATTAGATAAAAGGAAAGAGCATGGAAATCCTCATTGAAGAAAAAAGTGCGGCAAAATGTGCTGGAACAAAGACAAGGATCTATGTAGAACAGAGAACAAAATGGCAGCTTTGGTGTGGAAGCCCCAACATTTCCGACCAAGCTTGAATTGCCTGTGCCCTGTTATCCCTTTTTTTTCATCACAGAAGTTAGGTTATCCAAAGGACGTAACCATTCACTTCAAAGTTCATCTCTATTCTCACCCTGGCAGAGTTACCCACTTTCCCCCAGAATATAACTTCATTTGGTATATCACTTATGTATTTCAAAGAGCATATCCAGATTCTTCAGATTCCCTGCAATAAACTCAGATAGCAATGCCACCTATAAATTCACATTTTCCCTAGGGTTTCCAAATGCCTGAACTCTTATTTTCTTACTATCAAGGGCTTCTCCTCTTCTCTTCTCTTCTCTTCGCTTCTCTTCGCTTCTCTTCGCTTCTCTTCGCTTCTCTTCGCTCCGCTCCTCTCCTCTCCTCTCCTCTCCTCTCCTCTCCTCTCCTCTCCTCCCCTTTCCTTTCCTTTCTTTTTTTCTTTCCTTCTCTTCTCTTCTCTTTTTTCCCTCTCCTTTTTACTTTCCTTCTTCCCTTCTCTCTATCACCCTCAGTCTCTAAATTCTTACTCTCCCCACTGTCTTCAGACTATTGCAGTGTAAACAATCCTTAAAGACTATCTGAAAGAATGATAACTATCATAATTTGGTTTTACTTTTAATTTAAAGTCTATCTGCTGCACTAGTATATACATAGATACTACTGTGTATATATACTAGTGTATATATATACTACAATATATGCTTTATATATGCTTTAATTTAAAATCATATATATATATATATATATATATATATATATATAGCCACTGTTCCACATGCTTCCTTGCCAGTGTACTCTATCCAAATATTCAAATATTTATTGAATGATTAAATTAGATGCATCCCGTAGAAAACACTCTACTTCACATATAATGATTAGATATGGAACGGCATTTTGAATTAATTTTTTGTTTTGTTTTGTTTTTCGAGACAGGGTTTCTCTGTGGCTTTGGAGCCTGTCCTGGAACTAGCTCTGTATACCAGGCTGGTCTCGAACTCACAGAGATCCACCTGCCTCTGCCTCCCGAGTGCTGGGATTAAAGGCGTGTGCCACCATCGCCTGGCTATTTTGAATATTTTTGAGGATGTACAGTTCAAACTTTGAAGTTATTCTATACTACTTTGCCTTTCTCAATTCTCCCATTTAGATAAATTGTCACACATAAATTTGGAATCCTTAGAACCTATAGGTTCTCTCTTGGTCTTAGTTTTTATTCCACTGAACCCATCCAGTTTCTTCTGTCTATCACTCAAATACAATAGCCATTTCTGAAGACTCTAAAATTTCCTTTAATCTCGCCATCATTCATCTGATGGACTGCCATAATCTGAACATCTACCTACCATGAGTGTGGGTGATATTGCTTAGTGGGTAAAACCTACCATACCTAACAGTCTGAGTTTTACTCCTGGAACCCACATGATGGAAGCAGAGACTGAGAACCCATGATATATCCACTGACCTCCATATGCACGCTGTAGCATTTGTACCCCTCTCCCACCACACACACACACGAATATGCACAATCAATATACTAAAAATAAATAAAATCCTGAATTTATAGAACATTACACTTCAAATCATACTATAAAATCCAAGCACTTTTAAGTGACTTTAAAAAAAAGTAACCACACCACAGCAATCTGTACAAAAATCAGGAGCCAGTACATTTCCAGTTAAGTCCAATTTACTAATAAAATAATGAACCAAAGCATAGAGTGTTTACAGAACATGTAGAGATCAGGTGAGTAGGATGGGGAGGGGAGGAAGAGGAGGAGGAAAGGGACAGGAAGAAGGATCAGGAGGGGGAAGAAGAGGTAGAGGAAGTGTAATGCAAACAAAAGTTCAACATTCATATGTGCAATAGTCAAAGGTAATTCTAAGTGTTTTCTGTATAATCTTGGGCATTTTGCATAAAGAGCAAATATTCCCATTTCAGTTCTTGAATGGGAAATGCATGGTCTTTCAAGACTATCATTCTTCTAGTGTTCAAAGAAAAGTTCAAATGACAAATAGTTCTAATAGAAAAACAATAGCCAAGCTTAGGTTGACATGTTGTCATAAATACACATGTCCTCATAATGTTATCCCTTTGTGGACTGAATCCATTATGAGCAAAATCCATCACTATTTCACAGTGTTTCCCTGTTTGCAAAGTAAATCAGAACAAATTTCCTTACCTACTGGAAAAAATTGGAGCAACTGTATTAGGAGGTTGGTCTACGTGCTATTTATAAGTTTACTACTCTGTCTTCTCCGAGCCTTCCGAAAGCAACCTTTCCCAGTTTGCTTATGGAATTGTATTACTTTCAAATGTGTTTACTCCTTTTCTGCCTTCTGACAGCACATTAAGTCTAATCTATCCTGCAGCTCACCACACAGATTCAGTTATGCATTAGCCTTCACCAGTCTTTTGTGACTCTTCTGAACAATAACATGATTTTTAAGTGTGCAGATGTCCCTATAACACCTGGATATGTTTACTCATAAGTTATGTGCTGGATAAGTGAGTTAATTTAAAAGCAAACAGTATATTTCTGGTAAGAATAAACAGTAGGCTATATGTGTGTGTGTGTAATATATCCAAAAACTTTTTACAATTTAAGAGATCTGTATTAATGAACTATTTACTAAGCCGCAGTTGATATTATAACATACAATATATAATCAATGTCCAAGCTTGGGCAAAATGTTCTCTTAATGAAACATGGACCTTGATAAAAGTAAGGAATTTAGAATAAAATTCTTATATATGTTCTATATCTTTTTGAGTGACTGAAAAAAGGTGAAAATGGGAAGAGAAATTACTTTTACACTATCATTTCCATGTCATCTGCAATGACTCTTACTAATTTAAAAGTTATAGTTATGTAATGAAGTATTAAAATATTTATTTCAATTTTTACTTTCCTGTTGTTGACATAGTATTTCATTTCTGAGAATGATCATAGCAGCCATGACAGAAACTCTTAGCTTTACTTCATTATGAAGTTTTTCAGTTTTTTGTCAACATGAACTTTTTTCTTTTGATCTTCTTCATAAATTCCAAGATTTGAAATTTTTCTGTGTTCCATATATCACATCTACTATGTGATTTGGCTATGTACTATATTTTTTATGTCATTGCAGATTTTTAATTAAATGTTAATATCACTGTAACATTAAGGAGGCTGTTACCGTTGTTTGATAACTAAACTTGCTTCCAGTCAGGGAGGTTTTCCTCGCTCATAGACGACAACTGAATAAATCTGTACGTTACAATATGTTCAGACCCAAGACTCACCACACATTATATTTAGTTTATTGGCCAGTTCATGTTATTATTACTTAAGCTGCAAAGACAGTAAATTTTGGAGATAACAACTGTGACTCCTGAAAACCCAAAAGTCACCAATAACAGGAAAGATTGGAGCCAACTTATGCAGTATTAATAGCTAAATAAAGTTTATTATTCATTTAATCAGCAGACATGAAAGCAGTTTCCCTTTCTAGGTGGTTAAACCAGTACATTGGAAGCAGTTAATTTTAAACCTTTATATCATTCTTTGGCTTAAGAGAAAAAATTTTAAGAATTTATCTAAGATTAAAAAGATTTTCAGAAAACTTGAGCTGAAAATGAACTTGACGTTTAAGTAACATTAGAAACATGTACATACAGTCATATACACGTATAAATTCATTTTGAATTGAAGAAAAAAATACCTCCACATATATTTGGAAGCTTTGTAGTGTGGAGTTTTATAAATGTTAAATTTGTGCCTCTCTAGATGTCACTGTACTTTTATTTACAACACTGCAAAAATCATATTTCATAAAATCTGGAGGAAGTGAGCAAGCAAGATCGTGAGGATGAATATTGGAATTGAGGGTCAAATATGTAACAAAAATGGTTCCTCCTGTTCCTCTAACATTTGTGACCATGAGCTGTGAAACACAAGCTGCCTGTTACTTATTCACTGTCTTCCCATAGAATGAAATACTAGAACATGATGGGTAAACATGATATGTAAGCCTATGCATTTAGAAAATTAATTCTGCATTATCTACTGAACCATGTGTAGATCTGCAAATAAGCAAACACTTAATTTCTCAAAGAAGTAAGTAAAAAGTGGTACTTACTCATAGAGCCTCGGATATGAAAATTGGTCATGCTTACTTAATACACTAAATGAAATTGAGCCATCCTTCACAGTTTTGTTATAAGGAACTATACTGAGAGAAAAATAATAGGCTACAAAATAAAAAATGCAGAATATTATTCATATTATATTACAAACTTTATTTTGTTTTGTCACAAATGCAAGAAATGCACACAAGAACACATGATAGTCCCATATTTTATGCAAACAAAAATTTAAGAGAGAATAATTTAATCAATGGAAAATGCATTCTACTTCTTGTTGGGTTATTTCCAAAATATATTTCCTAATTCTTCGAGAATTTCAGAAACATTATTCTGACCACACTTATCCTCACCCCTAGCTTTTCCCACATCCACCACACCTATCCTAACTTCTGCAACACCAAACATTAAGTTTTCTAATTTTTTTCTCCCTATTGACTAGAGATTATTTTGCCCAACTATTCTTGGGAGTGGTATCTGCTCTGAACTGTGGCAAACATACTATGAGTCACATCATTATAGAAAACATTTAAAAAGTCATATTTTGAAGAATAAAAACATGCCAGTCAATCATCAGTCTTGAGGACAGTGATAATTTGGTTAAATTGACACTACATTATAACTTCCCTGCAAACATAAAATGAAATAGAAAAATAACATAAGACAACATTTTTTTTCAAGGACATATTTAAATATTGTAAGTCTCTTAATGACCTCATTAATAAATACAACTAAATTTGCTTGCCAACTTTAATCATCATTTCATTGCCTACTGAGCTGTTATACCTCAAGTAGATACATGCAGGGAAGTGCTATTCCAAAACAAAAGGGCTCACAGTGAACTAGAGAGATTTTGTTCAATGATTAGGAGTCATAGAGCTCTGGCAGAAGACAGGAGTCGGAATTCCAGCAGACATGTCAAGTGATTCACCGATGCCTGTAATTCTAGCTCCAGGGAGATTAAATGCCTTTGGTGTCTATGAGCACTTGCATTCATGAGTGTGGACACACACACATAAACAAACACACACACAAGCATACACACAAAACCACAAACAATGCTTAAAAACTAAAGCTTTTAAAATAATTGGCCAAAATTACTACTGAAAAGTCATCAGTAGGTTTTATTTTAGAAATAAAGATATTAATAATGAAGAGTGAGAGATGGAGAAGTTAACATACATGTGGAGGAAACTGAAATTATGAACTATAAATAAAGTTTCGATGCAAGAAGTAGTTGGAGAGGAAAAGATGAAGAAAGCAGCTGGAGAAGTAGGCTAGAAGGAGAAGAACATCAAAAGGATGCAGATGTGAGTGCAGAAATCATGACCAACTAGGGCTTGAAACTAAATGGAGCTAGCCTGGGTTGATTCTAAAATGGCTTGGGAATATTGACTACATTGTCTTTCTATCTTTTCCCCCCATGATTGACATTGCCTGCCTTATTACACTTCTCCAACTGTTGGGCTTGAAAGTAAGTAACTTGACCCTTCAATTGACAGGTTTAGAAAGTAAGACAAATTCATCCTTAAAGATTAATTATAAAGAAGGTTTCAGTTATCCCTAAATAACATATGCTTGAGCATAATGGTTCATTTATGGAAATTCTAACCGCTTACCACAGAATGGATTTTTGCTGCTAGTATCCAAAAATGCAAGGGTCCTGAAAGGCCACCCTTCTGTTTTTTTCTTCAAACCTTCTTTCCACCAAGGTCTAGCTTTGTTACCTAAGATTTAAGAAATAGGCACAGAAATTGAATTCCATCAAGTAGCACACAAATTCTCCAAATCACCAAAGTTCTTAAATGTCACTGGACAGCATCAAGTATAGATTAAAATGTATGCTGGAAATATGTAAGATGCTTTACAATATTTTTTAAAGTAGCTCACAGTCAAGATTCACAAAAATCACTACACCCCCTGGAAGTTCTATCAGATCCTGACATAATTAGTATAACTGAGATACACTTGTATCAATTTTATACAATTAGATATTCAGAAGTTTTTGCTTAACTCTTTTTAGCAAATTCACCAGAATAAGTGAGTTGCATAAAATTTTAACATGCAGTTTAGTTCCATGAATGAAGACTTAAAATTATCCTACAGCTACAATATTGTATTATGCCATAATACATAAGCATATAAATAATATAAATACATATATAAATCCTATGTCTTCTCCCCTTCTCACTTTTCTCACCCCATTTCCCCTTACCCCCATCCCGTCCCACCCCCAAGTTCCCAGTTTTTGCGGGATAAAGGAAGGGTGGATATGGGAGCAGAGAAATATATATCCTAATTAAGGGAGCCATCTTAGGGCTGGCAAGAGACTTGACTCTAGAGGGGCTCCCAGGTGTCCAGGTAGATGTCCCCAGCTAGTTCTTTGGGTATTTGATGAGAGGGTTCCTGAAATGTCCCTATCCTATAGCCATACTGATGAATATCTTGCATATCACCATAGAACCTTCATCTGGCGATGGATGGAGATAGAGACAGAGACCCACATTGGAGCACTGGACTGAGCGCCCAAGGTCCAAATGAGGAGCAGAAGGAGGGAAAACATGAGCAAGGAAGTCAGGGCCGCGAAGGGTGCACCCACCCACTGTGACAGTGAGGCTGATCTATTGGGAGCTTACCAAGGTCAGCTGGACTGGGACTGAAAAAGCATGGGATGAAACCGGACTCTGAACATGGCAGACAATGAGGGCTGATGAGAAGCCAAGGGCAATGGCACTGGGTTTTAATCCTACTGCATGAACTGGTTTTGTGGGAGCCTAGCCTGTTTGGATGCTCACCTTCCTGGACCTGGATGGAGGAGAGAGGACCTTGGACTTCCCACAGGGCAGGGAATCCAGACTGCTCTTCAGACTCCAGAGGGAGGGGGAATGGAGTGTGGAGAGAGGAAGAGATGAGGGAGAGGGAGAGAGGAGTGGGGGGGAGAGGAGTGGAAGGAGGGAGAGGGAGATGGGAGGCGGGGAGGAGGCAGAAATTTTTTCAATAAATAAATAAATAAAAATTAAAAAAATAAATCCTATGTTTTGAATGTATTTCTTATATTTGTGCATACTGAATACTAAATTAGTAACATATTAAATAATGCCAAATGCCTCTTTATATCTACCTCAAAACTTTTGAATGTTCATATAACAGAGAGAAAACTTAAATTTCAGAATTTTTAACTTCAGCTCAACCTTGTGCTCTTAAGTAATCTATATAGTTGCCTTGACTCACAGATGGAAAAATGATGCCACCAGAAAAGCAATCCCATCTAGAAGTATAAGTAAATTTCCCTAATTGGGAGAATTACACGAAATTTTTTACTTATAGGTCTTGTGGACAGAAGAAATGTATGGAAATGGGGATTTGACAAATCCTGGATGGATCATGCTTCATAGAGCGATGCTCCATTTGCATTCAGTAAGGTTGAATAAAGCTTGATGCACTGGGTTCATTTCAGTCCCATGCCTAGAGATGCTTTGACCATGCAAACATTTCAGGAAAACCCTTCCATAATACTGACCATATATTGATATGTTTACACCATGCTGAGACCTAGTATTTTCTTTGGAAAATACTGAACAGTGTCTGAAATTCTTTAAAGCTCTATTTTTTTTATTTTTACTTGAACACATTATTTACTTGTTTATTCATTCACATTTTATTCATATGTATAATAACTATAAATATATTTGATATATAATATATCGTATATTGACATTCCCTAATCCTCTTTACCTCCTCCTACTTAATCCTATCTTCTTGTGGAATCTATTGTTTTTCTGTATTTTCCATTGGCTGACTTTCATTTTCAAAAGATGCCAGTGTAAATATCCTTGCTATGTCTTACTGATATTGAAAGCATGAATCACGTGCAATTTTTGACTACCTGCTGAGACCAAATGTGAAGCTAGCTATGATGCACATCTCTTCACTTGGGCCTAAGATTTCCTATTAAAAGAAAAAGAATGTGGAATGTAGAAATCTCTGCCTGTATGCCTAGGAAGAGGGGTTGACAAATTCCTTAGGAAAAATGGTAGGAAATATATAATCTAAATCTAATGATATCTCCATTGATAATTTCTGCCAAACCATAATATATTAGCAGATTTTATAAATCACAAGTTAGCCTCCAGTCTAAAATACTACCCCAGTGATGTTACTCATGTTCAAAAAAAATTTTAGTAAATATAAGTTCCCTTACCAAGCCTAGGACAGGAGTCTTTGGGAAGGGTCCCACAGTCCAAACATAAACCATTCTTGTAATCTTCGTAGGAGGAACAAGGAAATGAGACAAAACTGCAGTTTGTTTCAAAAGATGCAAGGAACAAGTAAACTGCTCTCTGATGGTCACATTTTATGTAATTAACTCCTTAAGGGTGAGAAAAACAAGCAAAACAACTATATAGTCAAGTTCAAGAGAATTAGAGAAATACTGACCATTAAGTTATATTAAATTCTGTGTTTCTTTTACATGCAAAGCATTGACCACAAAATAGTTACATATCAACCGATTAAAATCTTAAATTGGGCATGATTTCTCATGAAATAAGTAAGACATTTGCATAAAGTAATAAATGTAAAGCATGGCTGTTTAAATTTAACAGGCTACACAAGTGCACGGCTACAATTATACTATTACTATTATAGTGTCTTTCCTTTCTAACTCTATACCCCTAAACATTTGATCCATTGTAAAACATGTCTCTGAAAACAAGTGATGTTACAACTCGCTGATCTCACTTCCCTCTTCCAATCTTTCATACATGTTTCCATTAGTTTGAACTTCTCTAGCCATGGTGGCATTTGACAATGTGTTAACCTACCTTGGTGCCGAAGTGAGCTAGATTCCACAGTCAGAGGCCATTCATTACTACATGTATGGTACAACCAAGTGGTCACGGTTGAAAAATCTGTGTATATGTGGTAATATGTTCATCATAAGTGCTAGATTGTGGGAGCAAACTCAAATTCTAAGATATTTTGCTATATATGTTTTCTAGATGAATTTGAATTCCTGTTTGTGCTTAAAATGATGAACTAAAATTGTTAAAACCACATAAAAAGAGTCCTCATCCACTACTAAATATAGTATATGTTAGTAACCTATGTGTATTAAATTGTATAAATTTAAATTATATCTTGTCAAAAACTATTCTATGTCATTAGCGAAAAATATGATATGAATATTACCTATAGATTATGATAGCAAAATGTTAAGCTATTTTGTCATATCATTTTGAATCATGTATAACTGTACTCAGAATATATCATCTGAAAAAGTCTATTTTCAATAAAAGGAAAAAGAATGAAAGTACTTTTAATGTACCTGAAAAAAGGTTTGTAGGACAACCTGGCTGTTGTTTTCCTCCGTTTGGGTAAAAATCTATATGTCCCAATGGCTCTACAATGCCTAATCCTGGGGGGGAAAGCACCCATAAAATTAAAAAGCATAAAATGTTGTTTGAGCAGTTGTATATAACAAAATCTGTTAACATCCAATAAACTTACTCTTCAGAAATTTGTATCATTGACAAATGCAAGTTTTAACTTTGTTAGTTTCTTCTGCTTTCAGCAAAGCTATCTTCTGTCTCTCTCCTCCTCTCTTCCCCTTCCTTCCTGCTTCCCTTCCTAATTCTCCTCTTTCTTCTTCTTTTTTTTGAGATATGAATATAAGCAATATCCCAAACTACCTTAGAACCTGCTATGCAACCTAACTCTGCCACCCTCCCCCCCGCCGCCCTGCTCTCTTTCTTTCAACTTAATAAACTCATCCATTCAATCAAAAAAGGCTCAGGGCATTTTCAGTAATTTTTCTAATGAATTTATCCAATATTTTCTAACCAGTGTTACCAACAATGTTATAAAGACAATTAAAATCAATAGAGAAATTATTCTCTCCTTATAGAAAAACAGTCTTTCTCTGTGGTTTTAAAGTTGTGCTCAGCTCCAGTTGGTATACATCACAAGAGGAAAATGAATAGAAACATAAATAGCAGCATTGACTATTGTTGGCCGAGACTATTCATTTGTTCCCAGTGGCCCAGACACCAAATAATCACACAGAAACTATATTATTTGTAATACTTCTTGGCCAATACCTTAAGATTATTTCCAGCTAGCACTTACATCTTAAATTAACTTATTTCTATTAATTTATATTTTACCACAAGACTCATGGTTTACCAGCAAGGTTCTGGCATGTCTGTCTCCTGGAGCAGCTACATAGTGTTTGTTTGACTCCATATATTTTCTCCTTACCTTAGTTTTCCCACCTAGCTCTATTCTGCCCTGCTATAGGACTAAAGCAACTTTATTCATTAACAAATGATATTCACAGCATATAGATTGGAATCCCACATCCCCTCCCCTTTTTTGTCTAAATAAAAAGAAAAGTTTTAACTTTAACATAGCAAGATTACATACAACAAAACAGGTTTCAAGAAAAAAAATAGAGTTCAAATATTTATATCTACTTTATCTTTTATCTTACCTAAGGGAAACTATAACTATCTATTCCTCAACTTCATCAAAGACCCTAGAAGTGCATTGTAAGCAACTTCCAAAACTCTAGAATTGACAGAGATACCTCACTGCCTGTTCAGTTACCCAAAGTTCTTCTGTAACATCTTCAGCCTACAGGCCCATAGTATCCAGCTGACTTTTCCATGAGGCAGGAAATTTGAAGATCTGTTCTGCCTTGTAATGGCAAAATCCATCAGTTGCTTTCATTCATGCAGAATGTCTGGTAGTTTCCTCTGTGAAGTAGGTACACTGAAGGACCATCCTATCTTATGGAATGTTCAGCAGTAATTTTTCTGTGGGTTCTGCATGTCCAGTTCATACAGCATACATTTAAGCAGTCCAGGCAATAGCAATTTCTTGCCAAAATGACTAGCAAAGTCTATAAGGAGATTCTTCAATTCCCAGTTTCCTCTTGAAGTAGACTGGTACTGCCAGGAGCAGATGTGTCTCACTGTCATGAAAAGTCCTAAGCTCTTAAAACATTTTAAATGCCATATTCTGCACATCTTTGAAAGATTTGGAGAATATTTACCCATCTGAAATATATCTCTGTATATATAAATACCTAACTAACATGACTACAATTTTGACTATTATAAATGACTATCTATTAATCTGTATTTTTAACTATAAGTTACTTTTTTTAAATGAATTGCACAAACACAATACTTTAATCAAGAGCAGAAATATACATATAACAAAGTGACCTTAAATTTATCAACAGACCAAGATCCATATCAATGAAAAGTATTCATCTCTATAGCATATCCCCCTTATAAACGTAAACAAATGTTTATCAACAGGCATTTAGGGAATTTGGGTGTAGTTCTCTTCAAACGGCTTCCTGTTTTTTGTTGGGCAAAGTAATTTTGCAGGTTTACACAGACCTTTCAGGGGGTCTTGTTTCATTGAACCACATTAGTCTGGAAGGAATCCACAGGTTCTCATCCTCTGTGGAAACAAAATCAGAACCTCTTTTCCAAAGCAACATATCCTTAGACCCAAATTTTGAAGTCAAGATACCTTTATGTATGTATGTATGTATGTTTAGCTTACCACCTCATTCCCAGTCAAAAATTTCAAAGAAAGCACAACAATATACATAATCCAGACTATCTGTGTATATTCCATCTTTACGTGGCTTATTTTTCTTTACTCCTTTCATCTATGACTGTCTGTACTCTGCCTCTTTAAAGACTTTGTTTTATTTTTTGAAATTATTTACTTCTTTTTATAATTATACTCTTCTTCTCTCTCCCAAGTCTACATACATTTTTAAACACACTATGACCTATTTATTTCTGTCTGAATCTGTCTTTATTGTGTATCTATAATCATTTTGACCAGGAACGCTTTAAAATGGTAAGCATCTTAGTCACAGAGACCCTGAATGCTGGCTCTGCCTCTCTCAGGCTTCCAGTAAGGCAGAGGAACATTACTGCCCGCTCTGGGACTGCTGGGTGTGAACCACGCTCACCACCTCAACTCTGGGTAGCACTGTGCAGCATACAAACCCTTTTAATCTCTGTATAAGCTAAATCCGCCATGCAGTGCACTTCTCAGCCTGGGAATGTCTCTGTGAACGGCCGTGGGAATCCTCCATGCTCTCCTGCCTGTGCACTCCTAGCAGACCCGAGCCCAGGCCAGGGTACTGAGTAGCATGCATGCTCTCAGTTCCTTTCCTCCTTACCTGGAGCTAGCATACAAGCACCTGAGCCCAAAACCCCACTCAAGTGCTTGGCCTCCTGAAAGAGCCAGAGCTGTTCCTGTAACTAGCAGAACCATGAAGCCTTCTTAAAAGAGCCACACAGTGTTTGCTGCTACCGCTGAGTCAGGAAGACCTCTCTTAAAGAATCCGCAGAGCCCCTACTCTCTGCCTGCAAACAGAGCCCAACAGGAAAAAAAAATGATGGCTACCAAGAAATCGTTCTTAATTCTGTTCTTTTGTGTCTAGAATTTCTTTCCAAGTTTTTTTTTCAGGTTTTCATGGATGTAGTCAGCACGTGTTGGACCACCAATTTGCTTAGTTTTTCCTCCTAGCTCTATTTTGCCCTGCTATAGGACCAAAGCAGGTTTATTCATTAAGCAATTGTATTCACAGCATATAGAGGGTAATCCCACATCAGACCAGGGCAAGAAATATTATCAAGTCAGTGACTGCCAATAAAATGAAGATGATTATTTTAAAATGAAATTTCAATTTATACAATGACATGACAATTCTTAAAACCTAAACACATAATTTTTGATTGTGAGCCTACCCTTTAATGGTTGAGACATATTTCCATCCCAAAGGATTCATAGTCATACCACAAGGACAATTGCTCAACTATGTTCATAGTAGCATTACTCATAATAGCCAGAACCTCAATGCACTTCAACCAAAGAATTTATAAAGACTATGTGGTATATTTACACAATGGAGTTTTATTTAGTGGTAAAAACACAATGACATCTTAAAATTTGCAGGCAAATAGATGGAACTAAAAAAAAATATATCTTGAGTGAGGTAACTCAGACCCAGAAAGACAAACATGGTATGTAGTCACTCATAAGTGGATATTAAACACAAAGCAAAGGATAATCAGTCTGATGTGGGACTTCCCTCTGTATGCTGTGATTACCATTAATGAATAAAGAAACTGCTTTGGACCTATAGCAGGGCAGAACATAGGTAGGTAGGAAAAACTATATTGAATGCTGGTAAAAAGTAGACAGAGTCAGACAGAAGCCGTGTAGCCCTACCGGAAATTTAGCCCGTAAACCACAGCCACATAGCAATACACAGATTGATAGAAATGGGTTAAATTAATATGTAAGAGTTAGCCAATAAGAAGCTAGAGCTAATGGACCAAGCAGTGATTTAATTGTTACAGTTTCTGTGTGATTATTTCAGGGCTGAGCAGACAGGAAGCAACAAAAGGCCCCTCCTCCTACACCAGTCTTCGGTCTACAACCCCAGAGAAGCCAGTAAATAAGGAGAATTCTAAAAGAGACATACATGGATACCCCCGTAGAGGGGGAATAGAATACATCTCCTTAGTAAATTGTGAGCTTGGAAGAGGAATGGTGAAGGGTCGAAGGAGCGTGAATAGGGGATAAGGGGAGTCGGGAGGAGAGCATGAGGGATCATGAAGGTCAGGTTGGGGTAAGGACAAAGAGGGAGAGCAAGGAAACAGATGTCCTGATAGAGGGAGATATTATGGGATTAGCAAGAAACCTGGCACTAGGGAAATTTCCAAGAATCCACAGGATGACCCCAGGCAAAAATCTAAGCAATAGGAGAGATAGTGCTTTAACTGCCTTTCTCAGTCAAAAGAAAGATGACTATCTTAATTGTCATCATAAAACCATCACCTAGTAACTGATAGAAACAGATGCAGAGATCCACAGATAAGCACTGGACCAAGCTCCTAGAGTCCAGTCATAAAAAAAGGAGGAGCTATAATATGAGCAAAAGGGTCAAGATCATAATGGGGAATCCCACAGAAACAACTCTGATCCTTGCTAGTGGGAGTTCAATAACTCTGGACTGACAGCTTGGAAACCTGCATAGGACCTAGCTAGGCCCTTCGAATGTGGATGACAGTTGTGAGGCTTGGGCAGTTTGTGGGACCACCAGCCATGCAACCAGTATTTATCCCTAGTAATAAACTGGCTTTATGGAAACCATGGAGGGATACCTTGCTCAGCTCCGATACAAGCGAGAGGGTCTCGGTCCTGCCCCAAGTGATTTGAGAGACTTTTTAAACACCCTTGGGAGGCCTAACCTCTCTGAGTAGTGGGGCTGGGGTTTGGGGGAGGGGAAAGGTGGAGAGAGAAAGAGGAAGGGAAGGAGAGGAAACTGGGATTGGTATGTAAAATAAAAAAGGTTGTTTTTTAAAAGAACATAAGAAAAAAATAGTAATAATAAATAAACACAAGGCAAACAATACCAGAAACCATTGCAAAAACACAGACAAACAAACAACAACAAAACCCAAAGCTCATTAAATCCCAAACATTTTATAAACAGTGCTTCCTTATTTTACAACATCTTCATCAGGAATCTATATTCCACACTTTGCTTTTAAACACAAAACTAATAAATACTTATTATTTTACCGTTGGTATCAGTATGGATGACATCCACAAACTTTGCATCAGTGTAATCTAACCTGCTATCTGCTGGTTTTCTAGAAAAATTTGGTCCAGCTGGGTCAAGACCTGAAATACAAAATAGGAAGTATCAGTCTAATAATGTTTTAGTACTTTGTTCTATTTTATACTTGCTGTATTGTCAATTATAAATACAAATATCTTCAGTTTTAGTTTAAACATGTCTAAGCCTATCTAAAGATATTAAATTTGACAAATGGCAAGTGCCTCTTTATTTAAATATTCATTGGCAACCTTTATAGCTAGTCTAAAAACAGGAGATATGTCTCAACAGAATATTGTTAAGCTATTTTTAGCATTTTTATCTAAGAAGCAGATAGAGTAATTTATGAAACTTTATATTTAATAGTAACAGATATCCCTCCTAATTGAGGAAAAGAGCTAATGAATACCATCCGGACCTCTCTTGAATTATTTGCCTTACTGGCTTCATCCTGTGACTGCCTATAGGTCTAAAATACATTTTAGATATCAATGCTATTCAGGTTAATGAATGGAACAAATTTGCTATTTTCTTAGTAGTCAGCTCTCCTAAAAGTTTCCTATACATTCTTAAGTAAAAATGTTATAAATTCAATTAAATATGGATATTATTCTATAGGATTAATTCTAAACTAAAATTCACAGATCATGACTTTCTGATAGCAAAGGGGTGGAAATAGAATAAAATCCACTGGAGGATGAGATGTCTAGTTTCCCAGACCCAAGGAGCAGAAGGGAAAAAAAAAAAACCTTACTCTCTTAAGTTGTTCTTTTACCCACATTAATATATAAATTAATATTATTTTAACTATTGTTCACTTCACATTCTTCTATTGTCCTATTTTATTTAGCCTAATTGACATAATGCCCCACCCTCTGTTTCTCTACATTTTTCTTATGTAAGAAGCCTATATTTTTGGTCTTTCAGACTTTTGCAATAGTGTGGTGGCAGAAGAATAGGCAAGTAAGCATATGCATCAATATGAGTAACTCTACCTCTCCTTTCTTTTATGAAATTTTTATTAAGACAATGTTATCCTTCATTAATAATTCATTAATAATCACTATAACATTTTAGCGATATGCATATGGATAATTGCTTAATAAACCTGATGTAGACACATGATGGAAATCTCTGTAAGCATCATGTCATTGTTGCCTTTAACAACAGTTAAATTTACTGTGTGAATCTGAGTGACCATGACAATGTTTCAGATTTGAATAGCAATTGCTGATTTGTCTAGTACTCCAGTGAATGTTTAAAAGAATTAAAAATCTGACAGCGTGTATAAAAGTGAACTATATAGCTAATATTTTTGGCTAATAAATAAATGATTTTTGATGGATCAGTTTTTCCCATGTAGCTTTTGACATTTAGATAAAGCTATAAAAACATAATACTTGATTTTCATGTTTACCTTAATCACAAAGGAAGAATTAACAATCCAATACAAAGTAATATTTGAATATATTTTGTGGCAATGTGATATGGGATTCCCTTCCGTGTGCTGTGAATATGTTTCATTGCCATTGGTTAATAAAGAAGCTGCTTTCTGTCAATGGCTTAAAAGATTAAAGCCAGTCAGAAAATCTGAACAAAGATGTAGAGAGAGAGAGTAGCCATGTAGCTGCTGAAGAAGAGAGATGCCCCAGAACCTTACCAGTAATGGGTTAATTGAAGATGTAAGAGTTAGTTAGTAAGAAGCCTAAGTTAATAGGCCAAGTAGTGTTTTAATTAATATAGTTTCTTCATAATCATTTCAGGTCTGAGTGGCCAGGAACAAACAAGCAGCCTCCGTCAACAGCAGTGTCTTTAGGTTTTAAACAGAATAAACTCTAGGAGGAAAATGTCCTTAAATGATAATTTTACAAAAAGAAAAAAAGATAGTTTTACCTGTGATTCTTCCAAGTTGACCGTGAAATAGTTTTCCTACAAAACCACTAATATGAGCCCCTAAGCTCATACCTATGAAATGAAAATTGTCAAGAGATGCTCCATGGTTCTGCAATTGAAAAATACAATGCAATGATTTTAATTTTGGCAAATCACAAATAATTCCTAATATACTGACACTCTGAAGTTCATTCTGACTGCACGCATTTCTGCGATATAAGTAAGGGGCTTACAACTTTGAAAAGATGATAACTTTGTTCAGCTTGCATCCTGAAATGTCTGATTTCTCTCTTTTTTGTTTCCAGGAACATCATTCAAATTCAGCTGTGAATTTAAGTTTTAATTTTCCATACTGTATAGTGAGATATTTAATACTTCATTATCAAGGCTTTTAATGAGCAAATAGTAATAATAGGCATGACCGAATGTTTATTCTGTGGTAAGTACCTCAACATGTGTTTTATAAGTTTTTATTTAATATTCCTGTTTGCCATTCGAGTTATTCATAACTATTCTGATACTTAAAACTCTGCCTGTCACCTATCAAACACTAACTAAACAATATTCATGAACATCCATTTACTAAGGAAAGAGGTTCAGAAGTCAAAGACATGTACAAAGCTACATATGAAGATGTATTTTAAGTCAGTGATGTCTGAATTTCTGTGCCTCTGAAAATTAATATGCTAAAATCCTAACCTTTAATGTTCTGTGTATGGAGCAGAGACTAGAAAAAGTGATATTATAAAGTTTGAACTCTCAAGAATGAGGCTAATATCCTGATAAAGGACATCCAAAGAACCTTATTTGAGTCTCCCACAGAAAAAAAAAAAAGACACCAACTACGAACCAGGAACTGAGCCTTACCAGCCCAGAATCCACCAATCCCTTGCTCTTAGGTCTCTTAGTCTGCAGGTATGTTTGCAGAGCCAGTTTACTGTGTGTTTTTTTTTTTTATAGTGTCTCAAATGGAAAGATACGAGATACGAGACTGAATCAGTTTGATTGCAAAATATATGCTAGTATTCTTCTGTTTTTCCTTCAGAGTATATCAATGACCCCTAATAGAAGTGGTAAAAGTATAACTTTTGAAATGCTATTACTTTTGAAATGCTAAAATGAAGTGCTTGGATTTAAGGTGGGTTCCAGGATTACAGGCTACATAGAACAGAAAAACAATCTAAAGTCAATGTGTGAACATCTATCTGTCTGCCTCAGGTAGTTAGCTTTGTGAGTTCACTGAATGTGTGTATCTTCCAGCAGACTCCCAGGGAGCTAATAGGAGTTGGTGATGGTCCACACTAAACAGTGATGTCTGAAGGCTCATAAAATGATGTTGAACTTTCACTACTCTTGGAGAGCTAGAGGGGGACCTGGCCAGCACAAAGCAATTTTGTTCTTCAAATTTTTCAAAGCAATATCCGCAAAGCTGAAGGGGTATTTCTCCAAACCACAAAACTATGGCTACTTTCCTCCCAGCTCCTATAAATCCTCTGTAAGCAAAATACCATGGCTTTTCCTTAAATTCTCTTCCTAACTTGCACTTGCTACATTATGAAGTTCCTGTTTATCAGTGAGAGACAGTTATAATTCAGGAAAAAGTCAATTATTCAGTTTTATACACTGTCAATCTTCTTGTCAATTATTTTCTCCACTTCTCTCTTGGGTCACAATATTTTTAAAATTGGAAATTCAAAATAATAATGCTCTTAGCAATGATGACTAAAAAATGTAATGAGATTACAATAATGTCTACTCCCCATATAAGATCACTAATTTACACTGAATTCAGGATAGATAAGGTTTAAAAGAGCCTTAAATTTTTAATTGTTTAAAATAAAATGGTTTTTACATTAAAAATGTAAAATTAAAATATAAAATTATTTAGAGTAGACAAAATATGACTACAAAAAAATCACTATGTCTAATATAAAGTCTCAAATGTTTATGGAAAAAGTTTTAATTTTATGATGTCACATAGCAACCCATATATTGTGTAGCATGTATATTTTAAAATTTTCATACTTACCAAAAGATTTTGAATGGACACACTCAAACTTGCAGCCACCTTTCTGGTGTTTGTAACAGCTCTTCTATAAAGGAAAGTTGTAGCACCATGGTTCCAGTCTACAACAATGAGATTCACATCTTCCTGTTTCAAAAATGCCTCAGTAAACATCGAAAGCCAAACTGGGGTGGATCCCAGTGGTCTGAATCCATGAATAATCCAGACCGTTTTCTTTGACAAGTCGAAACGGGCATTAAGCGAGTTATTAGATCCAAACAATGGTTCTGCACAGGTTGAATTGTACCTTGTATACATCATCAGACTTATCTTTAGACTGCCGGTAAACAAATCTTTTAGGGAATACATTGCATTTAATTTTGAGAATTCAAGGCATTTTCTATTAGTCTCTGTAAAGAAAGAAAAGTCAGTATGAGTATTAGGCTAACATTGCAGTTTTATTGGTGCAATATTGTACAAGTGAACAGAATTCTATTTTATTGGCACTTTAATGTGATCTACTGAGCAGCTACAATGCTAAAACCTACATTGGATCAAGCAGAAAGCCTCCCTGAGCTAGAAGTAATAAAAATAACAACAAATATGAACAAATGTGATAGGTTAAAAATGACAAACACTCTTTTAAAATAAAATAGAAAGTGTCAGGCTGAAATCATGCCTTTTACTAATCACTGGAAACATCAGCAGTGAAGACACACAAACTGATTGTGAATCCTCCCAAAAGCTTTACAGAAGGGTACTTATTAATTAGAAAAAACTTAAGCTTGCCAGTACCAATATTAACACAAATAAAAATAAAGTCTATCGTTTTGCTTTTAAACTTAAAGTAGTGAAAACATTCTTTCCAAGGCATATAATGCCAGCACTTGGGAACGTGAGGCAGAAGTACCTCCAGGACATGGTTAGCCGTGGTGACATAGCAAGAGCCTGAAAAGAAGAGAAAGTGGAGAGGAAGAGAGGACAGAGAAAGCGAAGAAAATCATCCCAACAAAATGAATGTGTGTATATATACAAAATACATATAAGTGAACGCTGAGAGAATGCAATGATAAAATGTTGTTTTGGAGTTTTTTAGCATTAAAATTATGTATTTGATAAGATTTAAATTAATAAAGTAAACAACTGCATTAATTCTGAAGTTATCAGTCACAGGCTTTTGCACAGTGGCACAAGGAGTAAAAATTTTTATCTACCTATTATCATCTATCTTTCTATAACTATCTGTACATCATCTATCTATTCATCTACTCATCTGCTCATCCTAGAAAGAAATAAGCCAGAAAATGAAATAACTGAAATGTTCAATAGCAGTAATCATTGTAAGGCAGTGATATAATGGCTGCTTTATGTTTAGCTTTTCATAGCTTTCCTGAATTGTGAATTATTGAATAAGCATAAGTATAAAATATTTTAATGAGGGCATAAGTTTGTACTACATCTAGAACATTAATCTGGTAACTCTATTTAGGAAGTAAATTTTTTAGTACCTGTCATATACTTAAAAGGCATTAGTAAACTTCATCTCAGAAATTCAAAATTTAGAAATTGACCACAGGAAGAAAAGAACAAAAATACTATTTTAATATTGTGCATAAGATACAATACTTATAATAATTCTAACTTAGAGCATACAGATGCATTATTGTCACAGTAATTTGGAGGAAAGAAGCCAGTCAAGGAGCTATAACACTTGCACAACTTTCCCAGGTTAACAATGGATATGTAACGAGAAGACCTTTGATCCAGCATACACAGTAAGTGCCAGAGATAAAGGAAGACATAAGGAGGAACATTTAGTTCCATGGTGGCTATGAACTTGCTGTGCTGAACAAATTGTGTGAGTTATACGTATCTGCCACTGGTGCAAAAGAATCTGTATTCTGTCAATCATGTTATAAATAAACGCTGATTGGCCAGGCAGAAAGTATAGGCGGGAAAACCAGACAGGAAGTAGAAATGATGTAATGAGAACAGGAGAATTCTGGGAAGGAGGACGCTGATTCCTCCCACTCCTGCCTAGACCACTGAAACAGCAGGATGTGATCTGCTCCACTGAAAAAAAAAGGTACTGAGCTACATGGCTAACATAAATCAAAAAATGGGTAAATCAAGATGTGAGAGTTAGCCAATGAGAAGCTAGAGCTAATGGACCAATCAGCTTATAATTTATGGAGACCTATGTGTGGTTTTCTTTGTGGCTAAACAGTTGTGGGGTACCAGGTGGGACAAAAACCCTAACAACAAGCAGGGCCCCTTCATGTTACATGCCACATTTATCACCGAGTGTGGACAAGCACAAAATATAATCTGATAATCCAAAGAGCGGCTTGGTTACAAACCCTGATAGACTTTGCCTCGTCCTAGAAGGAGTAATAAGAAATTAACTAGTAAGAAAACTTTTATTTAAATAAGGGGGAAAGACCTACATCCTAATAGTCATCAGAAAAATATAGCATCTATTACCAGGTATAGCATTAATTGCTAATTTTTAAAGCATTCTTATTCAGAATAGAAGGAAACAATGTCATTTCAAAAGCAAGAGAAAGAAGCTACTGAGGCAAACTTTAGAAGTTATAAAAAACAGTATCAGTTAAAGAAAAGGACAATTAAAACTCCAATTAAGGAAAAATACAATTGTGTAATAAACATTCAAATTATAAAATCATATAAGATATGGAAATTTCTTTCTGCAGGAACACATAATAGAGGAGGTGTTAAAATTATGATGAGAATGAAGACAAAAGGTGCAGAGAAATTTAAACAAATTTAAACGTGCTACTTCCTTGAGGAGAGTTACTTGGTGGGAGAAGAGAGAAGGCCTGTTTCATTAACTAAGGACATAATTGTAAAGCATGGTTTTCAAACTCAGCAAACTCCCCAAAATGTAGAGAAAAATCGCTCAATCAGACTCACCAAGATTTTTATACCTTCCATTGCCTTTCGATGGCAAATTTAAATATCCTAAAATATCAAGACAGAAAACAGGTTACAAAGAGAATAGTGATGAGATCAATCTTTCCTGTTAAAACAATTCATTAGACGGATAGAATTAAAGAGAATGAGAAGACTTTAAATGGGAATAATTGGGCACTAACAATCTAAGGTCATATTCTGTAAGTTACTACTCACAAGTGATTGTTACACTCATTGATACCATGTGTGTATGTACACATGGTGCGGGCACATAAATGTATTGGCACAGACCCCTGTGTGCATTTATGAGAAGACCATTGCAAAGCACCAGAAACCTTTCTTTTCCACACTCAATGTGACTGTCTTGTGACAGGATAGCTCAAAAACCCACAAGCTAGTCATTTTCACTAAATTAACAGTAAAGGGGAATTCTAAAGGTCCACTTGTCTCTGGCTCTTCCTGCTGGTGCTATAGACACTCACAGGTATTCCCAGCTGTTTTCATGGGCACTGGGGATTGATGGGGAAACTATCAACTGATAGTTTCAACCAATCACACCTAGTTAGGGTGTGGCCACCTAGAGCCCAGGTAGAAAAACCTAGGGATGCAGGTGCACTTTCGCGGTGACTGCCGGACCTATTGGATTTTGGAACTCCCATATACACTTATAGTGTATAGTTCCCCCCTCTTTAACCATTAAAGTATTCCTGTCACTCTTGAGCTAGCCTGGTTACTTATCATACCTACCTAATTCGCGTCACTTGGCGCCCTGCAGTAATCTTTGAAGTTTCCAGGAAGAAGATGGGGCCCCACAACAACAACTCCACCTGGTTAATATGACGTCATGATGCTGTTAGCGCTACTACAAAACCTGTTTTTGGGTACCAGCTGCACAAGACGATTCCAACTTGGTTAGCTGAAATGGTGCACATCTTTTACAACGTTCTGGCCTGACCTCCACAAAATTCTCAGAGACTATTTGCAGTTTTACCAGACCAAATATTAATCTTGGAAATTAACCATCATTTACTTTCACAGGATCCCCTAAGAAGAACGTCGCCCCCATAACAGCTGGAAGTAATTCTAGAGGACGACGTCCCCTCTCCCAGCAAAGTTTGCCCTCAGCTTTAAAGACATCATTTAGGGGTTGGTTATAATTGGTATATGGTTGAGGGATGGGGGAGAAATTTTATAGGCTCAGGGATCTTCTTGGGAAAAAAAAAAGGTATAATTGTATGATGGGATAATAGATTGGTATTTGTGACTTATTGTTTTTAGACAATTATATTGGCATCAATTCTTGTATTTTGATACATAGTTAAATTATATTGAATATTCTATGCATGTATGCTTCTACCTCTATTTGAAACATTGTTTATGTATTGACATATATATTTACCATATTGCAGTGTACACTACTACCTCTGATCAAGATACTTATACATTGTTTACATTTGAGGGTCATTGTTCTTATTTATTGCACAATTGTTTATTGTCTTCATCTTTAAGTTAGATAAAAATTGAGAATTATAGATCAATAGTCATCTATATTTGTTATATTTATATTTAGGTTAATCATGTTCTTCAGTACATAGAGATTATATTCAGTTTAGATAGATAGTCTTCAATCTCTTCAAAAAGCTGTAGGAAATGGCCTTTAATCTAACTTAGAGTTCGGTGGTAATAAGACACAATCGATCCTGACAACACCAATCTATTCCCGAGAGAATGTTGAACACCAAAGACACTCCACCTGGAGCCTTTCTTCATGGCAGAGCTGGCCTTTGGGCAAAGAAATGCCCATACCTCAACCACTGACAGAGATACAAAGTATCTATAAATGGATAAAACAGGACTGTCATATTACCAAGACAGGGTAAAATAGTTTTGAAAAGTTTCTTGCCTTTGAAAATGGTATGTCAGTTATGTTAGGCCTTAGACAAAGTTGGTTGCTTCAATATTGCAAATGAGACTTTGGGTGACTGCCCAGGTGGTCAGTTGTCTCTGTCATTTGTTGTGCAATATGAAAGTTTCTCAATTACACTTCCTGTTTACTCAAGTAATATTGCTTCCCTTCTTAGATCTTTGATGGTATTAAATTAAAGATTAGATAACTGTAGTTACTTTCCTCATGATTTAGCCAAATTTAATTTCAATACATTATTTAGACTCCTTGAAATAGAATGTCTAGTAAAAAATTTTGTCATGTGTTCTTTCCTTAATATTGTTTACTGTTTGTAATTTTATATTTGGTATCTGTTCCTGTTGTATATAGTTGTATTGGGTTTGGATCTATCTTTTTTAGACAAAGAGGGGAGATGATAGGGAAACTATCAACTGATAGTTTCAACCAATCACATCTAGTTAGGGTGTGGCCACCTAGAGCCCAGGTAGAAAAACCTGGGAATGCATGTGTGGGCTCTCTTCACGGTGCCCGACGGACCTATAGGATTTCAAAACTCCCATTCTTATGGTGTAAGTTTCCCCTCTTTAACCATTAAAGTATTCCTGTTACTCTTGAGCTAGCCTGGTTACTTATACCAATCTAATTCGCGACAGGGGATTCTAACTCAGGTCCTAATGCTTTCAAATTAAGAATCATTAGCCATTGAATTGTCTCCCCAGGCCTGATGTTGTCATTCTTCAGTAAAATGTTCGATTCATAGAGACACAATTCATAGAAATTTATTTAAAATACTGAGAGTGATTGTGAAAACAGATATTAATTTAACTTTGGATATTATATGGCAGAATTTCATAGAAAGTTAACATCACAAGTCATTCTTGTACTCTTGTCCATCCAACTTTTTTTCCTCATAAAAATGTAAATGAGAAGTATAGAAAATTAGTCCTCAATTGAAGGTACCACAAGATTTCTGTTTTTAACTCCAAAAATTGAAAGTACCTTAAAATCTGGGAGAAAAAGTACCTTAATAATTGGAAGAGAGAGAGAAAGGAGAGAGAGAGAGGGAGAGGGAGAGGGAGAGAGAGGGAGAGGGAGAGGGAGAGGGAGAGAGAGAGAGAGAGAGAGATTCAGAAGGAAGAGGGAATTAGCATGTAAGACTAGGTAATGCTCCCAAATTTCAGTGGATGCAAGAGAGGGAGAAATTAAGTTAGTTCTATGTAAATTTCCTCCCTGCTGGCTCAATTTCATAGTGACAGGCAGTGCTGTACAGTTGCTTGACAAGAAATGGAGCCATTGACATTCTTTACCCCATTGTGAACCCTCTGAACAACAAAACCAATCTACCAGTAAAAATATATTCACTTGAGAAATCATAGCTTGACTGTTATGGGGGTAAAAGACTGTTCTCTTTAACTGGATTGGAGGACAAGTTCAAAAGAACGAATTCATGCCTAAAATATGAACACAGTCCAAAATCCACAGGCCCAATCCTTGGGCCCTAAACGAGATCTTACCACAGTTGTTTGCAAAAATTGACAGGGTGGTTTCCAAACATCTATATTTATATCTAAAAGCTAATGCTACTCCAAAACTCAATCAGAAGTACAGCTCACAGCACTTAGAATAAGTGATGGTTGAGTGCTTTGCCATAAATAGATCATTTACCTCATCCCTTCATATGCAGGAAGCAGTAAGAAAAAGCATATGGGTAGAATATAAGTCAAGAGGATAGTGAGAAGGGCTATGAAATACTGTTTTTGGGGCAAGCCACCCAAAGTAACCATGCTGTGAACACAGAGGATTCAGCCTCCAAAAGCCTGCTCTAGACTCACCCATCAACAGTCAAGCATGGGTTAGAGGATCCTACCGCTCCCTACTGAACGATGTCTGGACAGAGGCAGACATTTCCTTCACTTATATACCCATGGATGAACTCACCAGATTCTGATGAATAGCTACAAATACATGTTTAAAGAAAAGGAGAAAAATAAATTTATTTTACCTAATAAAACAGGATTGTTTCCTAAGTCGCATTAACAAGAATATTAATATTCAGTATGTGTATACCTGAAAAGCATGTGTCTAAAAACTATATATAAATGTAAGAGTATGTGTGGACTATGCATATAAAAAGACAAAATAACAGTCTTGTTCAACTTGGCAAAAGAAATCCAATATAATGGCAAAGTATCCCAAGCAAAGATTCATCATTAGCCATCTAAAATATGGAAATTAAAAAATAAGCCATACACACACACACACCAAAATGGTAAGTGATAAAGACTAATGGCCAGGGAAATATTATTGAGAATATAAAGCTATTTAGACTGTAGAAGGAAGTGGAAAAATGATGCAATAATTTAGAAAACAGGTCGATAAAATTCTTACAGTGAAAGTATGTACCTTATTGGAACCTGACAGTTCATATCTAGATGTTAACACTGACAACTGAAAATGTGTCCTCATAAAAGTATATCCAAGTTGATAGTACCATGCTTTTCACAACAAACTACTTCTGAAAGAACCCACAAGCCAATCAAAAACACATGAATAGCTGAGTTGTTGTAGTCTGTGTAATTCATTACTTCCCAAGCAATAATAGTAGTGAAGTACTACAATATAGACAAGCATAGTAAATACTGAGACCTCAAGAACAATGGCAATGGGTTTTTGATCCTACTGTACTTATTGGTTTCGTGGGAGCCTAGACAGTTTCGTGGATGCTCACCTTACTAGACCTGGATGGAGGTGGGTGGTCCTTGGACTTCCCACAGGGCAGGGAACCCTGATTGCTCTTTGGGCTGACGAGGGAGGGGGACTTAATTGGGGG